TTGCCGTTTTCTTGGCCATGGTAAGCGCTTAAAGGCCATTAAAAGAAGAAGCTGGGAAAATCAAAAAGAAGAGCTACCTTAGCATCGCCATTTTCCAAAGGCAGAGCATCTTCATTAGCGCTAGTACGCTTCAACGGTGTTGTGTTTCTAGTGGTTCTCTGAAAAGGAAAGGTGCATTCGGTGCTTTAATAAGAGAAAATTGTATAACCTTTATTGGAGTAACAGCCTTTGTAGAAGTAGTTTCTTCTTCTTTTCGATTTTGAGAACTGCGTGTCTGCATTTGTTCTCCCGATGTCGAAGGAGATGTGTCGTCGTCTTCACTTACCAACTAAAAAAAATTTCTGCAGGCTTTCTTATTGACAGTGTGAATCGCAGTCATGGATACTAAATGCATAATACTAATCCATCCTCCTAGGTAAAGTTTTAGTGTTTTGAAGAAGTTGACTGACGAGTTACTTTCTGTAGATATCGTTATTCCAGTGAATAATGTAGTTTAGAATATTGTTCAAATGTAACTAGTGAAAACATTCGCAATTCTCAATTACAGCATCAGTTTTTTAAAGAAGCATAGAGATAGATAGTAAGAATTGTACCATAAAAAGTAATAGCATTATCGCGTGAAACGTATACGTCAAACTTACCTTTTCGTTTGTTTGACTTATTTGCTTTCCTTTTGCGGCTCGATTTTTACCAGTTGTCTGATTTGTTACTGAATGTAAAAACCATCATGTCTAACAATAAGATATATGTGGAAAACATGTTTGAACACACGGCGTTCCTTTCCCAGTAATCGTGGTGACTTCAACTCCTCTTTACTCGTCACCACAACACTCTCCTGTTCCACCTTCAAAGGCTTTCGGTTCACTTTTTTACGTGCAGGGCTCTAAAAATATGTGTAATCTAAGCAATTCTATTCTTACGTTAGGTTCAAAAACCCAAATAAATCACTTTGTTCACGATTTCTTCGGGCGACTTCGGGGACTCCTCAACCTTACATGTCTTGACCAACGCTACACGTCCCTTTTGCGTCTTTCTAAATATATAGTTTATACCGTTTTATACCGTTTAAAATAACTAAGAGTGAATATCAGCTAGTGGACGCACGCATTTTTAGGCTCTCGAGTAGACCTTTTTGATAGCACCAAACTAGAGGTACTGTTCAACCGCTTTCGATCTCGCGTAGGTAGCTTTCCGTTACGCTCTTTTTCGTCTTCAATCAATTCGTGTGGAGCATAAACCTAAAGGGTATTCAAATAACGAAAACAATCGCAGATAAAGTTTAAAACATGAGGCAGGGTGTGAAAAATAGAAAATCTCATTCTCACAGTCCCAGCGTGCTTCGAATTTTTCTCTCGGATGAAGAAACGCGTGGAAAGCAGCGTTTTTCGTGGTTCATTGCGAATTGTGACTTTTCCTCGATAAACCAGCATCAGCATACCCAAGTCAGCTAGCACCCACATTTTCTACAGCGAATGCATCGTGAAAGAGGAAAACAATAATTCTTTTCCAGAAAGCTTACCTTACTTTGTCCCACCAGCTCAGCCTCACCAATCTCACCCTTCTTTTGCCTCTTATCAAACATCGCATCATTAGATTCCTTTATGTCTTGGAATAAGCAAT